CTAAAATCTCTGATGCAGCCAATAAAGCTCTGCATAAACTGGCCCTTTGCTCTGTCTTGGTCTCTCTCTGTGTCCTGCAGCTGCACTGGCCTTGGTTCCTTCTGACCTTACGCCCTTTGCTCATTCTGCATCTTTCTTTCATCCAGCCTCTCCCCAACTTGCTCATCTAACTCCTACTTATGTCAAGATCTCTGTTATCTGTACATACGTATTTTATATATGCATACGCACTAACATGAGTTAACATTTACATGAATAGGAATTATGTCTATGTGTGAAGCTTTCCATGAACTGTAAATCTAAATCACGCCTCTTTATTTTATTATAATTTATTTTGCTTCTTAGAATGTACCTATCATTTTTAATTATGTATTTAGTTTGAAGAATTATTGATTTAATAACTCGTCTCTAATCAAATGGCAACTTCATCAGGACAGAGAGGGACATTTGCTCTTAGTTCACCACAGGATCCCCAATACCTAGGCCAGGGTTTGGCACATGACAGGCAAGCAATAAATATTTACCAAATGAGTAAGCATGTAAATAGCATATCTCTATATGAGACTACTGAGATGAAAAACGTATAATGCCCACTCTTAATTCTCTTTTTATTTAATATTTTTAAAAAAGTTTCAGGGTAAGTTAGGAACAACTTTTGTATTAAAATGCCAATGCAAATTTGATGTGCTGGATATTTAGGAAATTGTGGATCAAGACGTTTATCAGGTTTGCTGGTGGAAAGGCAATCATTCTGGACAAAGCACTATGCTGGCAAAAACATCAGCCAAAAGCTAATAGTGATGCCAAATGTCCAAATTATAATCCAAGTGAGAGCAAAGAACTGGTTAGGTATTTAGCACAACAGAATCATTTCGATGGCTCAGATACATGATCAAAGATGTTTATGTTATAGTTGGTATATACATTAAGTGAACTCTGAATATTAACTTCATGAGCACACAAACTTCTCTCATTTAAAAAGTTTTAAAGATCAATAATGTAGGTGTTGGGGCAGGCGGGACTACTGAATATTTTTGGAATACTTAAAATTTCAGAGCATTCATGTGAGAAAATGAGGCTGGTAATGTCCTCAGAGTCTCCCGAGTAGACAGAAAACTGCATGTGGGTTTTTATCACAACAAATAATATTAATGACACTCCTCAGTGACTCCAGAATCAACTTTGCTGAGATGATCAAATTCTTGCAGATGTATCTTATGTTTCAGTTTCCTCCCCATAGTTTTGGAGTAGCTAGGGACACATACAAGGTTTAATCCCAGACTAAATATTGCCCAAGGCCATCATGATTACATCTTAAAGTGATGGAAAGCAATCTGAGCATGTATTTTACTGAATCTTATCGGAAGAGAATTGGCTTGGGAGAATGTACTAACTTAAAATGTAAGAAGCATAATATAATAATTGTTATTTTGCCATCATCAAGACTTATGCATCATGGCTCACCTAAAAATGATATTTTTGGACTATGTTAAAAAAAAAAGAAATAGTATAAATAGTATAAGGACAATAATCAAATATTCAAAAATTTTAAGTATGTGTGTTAGATGACATGTACAAACATTTTCTTATTAATTTTTGTATATAGTTTATAAAACGATTTTTCTCAAGGCATTTACATTTTTATAATTATAAATATACTCCTCAATCTGTTCGGAAAGTAATGCAATGCATCGTATGTGGGGAGAAACATGGTTTGCAGATGAACAAAATGTAGATTTTTTTTGTTCATCTCATCATTTCACTTGAAAAAACAGTAGTCATTATCTAAAAAGATTTTCAGGTTGATGCGATAGTTTATATAATGTTTATAACCCCACATCTCAAACTCTGAACAGATACAACTATCACATTTTAAAAGTATTTCAGTCTAGGATATTGTCCTTAATCTTAACTACTATAAAGTGTAAATTTCTACATATCCGTATGCTTTTGGTGTAGTCTACATGGATAAACTGAAGCATCTGTGTCATTATTATTCTTTTCAGTTTTTTCTAGTGGTGCCCAATAAAAATGAGGCAATATTGCTCCTTTATTTTTATACAATGCATATAGTTCAGAGGTATTCATGTATTATGGCCTTTCATTGTGTATTTTAAAATCTAGGTGACTTCAAGTTGAAAATACACAACCTGAATTACTTTGGAATAGCATGATATGCTGTTTCCAAGGATTACCTTCTAAAGGTCATTGAGATACAAATTTATCTTACAAAACTGGGACTAAGAAGTCAAAAGAGGAACTGGAGTTTCATTTCTGGACTAATTTTTGTTAACTTATAAGCTATTATTTTAAAATACCTTATGACAAGTTTGATAATAACACATAAATTTGCCACATGAATTAAAAGATCATAAACTGTAAAATATTTTAAAATAATATCACTTTATGGATTTGTCTTTTTATCAAATGATTATTTTTAGGTAAAGTGTTTAGACATACAAAGAGATAAAAACAATAGTTGTTTTATAACATAACTTATTTTCATATTTATTGCAAATTTAATTGAAGTGTCAATTTTAGAAAATATATTGTATCTATACCTATCGACAAATCTTATTTGTATGTATGTTAATTGATAGAGAATTAAATAAAAGGAATTAGATATGCAGAGAATGAATTTCAAATTTCTGGCTCTTGATCTTTGACCTAAAAAATAAAAAATTCCAGAATCATGAATGTAAATGTACAAATAAAATAACTCAAGTATTAGAAGAAAACTGGTATGCATTCCTCTACTACCTAGATATAAACAAGGGTTTTCTAGCTATAATTTAAAATCTAGATGTATTTTTTAAAAAGTCTGATAAAAATTACTCACATATTTTTTAAAAAAGAAAAAAAAACCATTTGCATGGGGAAAGAAAAGTTTTAAACAATGTCAAGAGATTAGTGACAAGAGACATTATTAGGATATCTGAGAGACGACATTTGCAACACCTATCACAAATAAAGAGCTAACATCTCAAATAAATCACTCTTATGAGGTGAGAAGAACAAGACCAAAAGTCGGTTAGAAAATGGGAAACAAATAGCAAACAAACAAAAATCAAAGCCACATGTGTCTGCTCATTTCCACAAAACATGCACAAGCACAAACCAGGAAGGAATGAGATTTCTTATCTAGAGAAAGCAGGTGGGCAATGGGTAGAGAGGATGGGAGGATTGGAACAGAAGGACCAATGTGGGCAGGACACTTCTCTGCATATATCATTTTTTTAAAGTCTGCATTTGGAGATCATGTTAATGTTTCACAGACTTAATAAACAATTATGGAGAAAGGTAAACACAAAAATAAATTCAGCTAGAAACAAATGAACCTAACTCTGTTTCAAATGAGCAACATAAACACAGTGAAGGGGAAAAAGAAAGTATATTTTGTGTATTTTTCTTTAATAAGGAGTGAAAGGACTTTATTTACTTACTCTGGGCAGAACATTCTTTAACCAGATAATTTACTCAAAGTGATTATAACACTGAGAAAACTTTTTTTCCAAGTGACAAAAAACTAAAACTAAATATTCTGCTATTTCTTAGAAATTATTCTATATGTAATACTTGAGGAATAGGATTACCAAAAGTTTCCATTGCAATATGACTCTCTAGCACACAATTGTGACCAGTAGTAAAATATTTGTAAGATTATAAACCTGTATTACAATTCAAAGACTAAGTATCTAAATTCTAGTTTTATTAATTCCATACAGATGATGGCAGGCTACTATGGATCAGCTAGTTTGTTAATTCCTAAGAGTACAAAAATAATACATATATATCCCAACGATCTTATCATTTGGTAGGGCAATCTTCAAAGCAACTACTGAAGAAATGAATCCATTTTAAGGAGCGGATAAATAACGATGGAAATTGTATTTGAAAGTGGTGACATAGCAGTTACCACTGCCATGGAATGTCATCCCAGATGGGGTGCTGTTTGCTCTGAATTTGACATTTTTCTGGTGAGAGAAGTTCTAGGGCTTTCTGCAAAGAGAAGTAGCAGCTGTCAAGGCAAGGAAAAGTGAGGAACGATGCAGCACACCTGGGGAAGGAGAGAGAGGCACACTGGAGCCAGTTTATGGAAACTTGCAAAGGAGTTTTACTGTCCTAAGTGAATTCTTTGGAGAATATTAAGGAGGAGAGGGAACTTGTAAACTTTGGCTTGTCAGATCAATTTTTGCTTTTTGATTGAACTTTATCTTGGCAGGAAGAGAAATAGATCCTCTGCCAACAATTATGTTTCCCGGCTTTTAAAGATTTTTTCGTATTTCTGTTTTATTTCATTTTGTATGATGCTTCTTTAGTAGTGAGAACCCTTTGGAGAATTTCAAATCTTCCTTAGTTCAACCAAGGGGAAAATGGAATCTATATACACCTAGTCAAAAAGGTAGCCCTCATGGCAATAGTAAGAAATAAAAGAGAGGATTCAGGAAAATTTAATCACAGAGAGCTGTGGCTGCTCCTCCCTTCCTCTGGGGTACTCTATAGAAGGGAATACTTATGTAAGTATTTATTTCTCCCAACCTTTTCCAGGCTCAGTGGAAAAATGCAGCATTCAAAATAAACACTGTTATAATCAATCCATGTAATTTAACAGTCATGCAATTAAGTATCTTTAACCTCTCATGTTTTCAGTATGTTCTTTCTCCCACTTTACAGTGTATGAAAGCATTTATGGCATAGAGATAGCGTAAACTGAGTTTATATTACTGCTTATGAGTGGCATGATTATTATTGAAGCTGACTATCCTTTTGGAAAGGGTAAGCTTAACTGGCAGGCCCCCTCCCTGGGCCCCTCTGCTCCTTCCCCAACCTGGTCATAATGCTTAACAGAAAATCTTCTCATTTCTTTCTGGTATAGGGAGAAATTCATCTTAAGAGATTCCTCTGGCTCTTGGGTTGCTTTGCCTAAGCCTACTTTGTTTTATGTGGTATTTGATGCCTGAGTTATACCTGAATTGAATCTAGACCTATTTGCTTTTCAGAGCTCGGTTAACTCATTTACACAAAGCAATTGGAGAAAGGAATCGCCCACTGGATAGATGAGATTTCTGAATGAGATACTGGTAAGGTAGCATTTTCTGTTCTGATTCTGCACTAGCAGCACACATCAAGATTCTTACGAAGGCGAATTCATTTATTTTATCGTTTTTGTATTTCCCGGTGCAATAGAATGCTAAAAGAACTATTTAATTGATTTGCTTTCTTTATCTGGAATTTTTAATTAATGTAAACAGCTTATAAATTATGGGTATCTATAAGAATAGAAATATATGTGTTTACATTGGATTGTGTGTTGAGAGACTTTGCAGAGCTAAGATAACATGGCATCCAAAATTAACCAAGGAAATGGGGAAAGTAAGAAAAAATTAACATGTCATTTTGCTATAAAAAAAAAATAAGATAAAGCCCTAGTGAGCTTTCCCACACAAAAATACATCATGCAGGGCACCTATGCTTGCTGGAGGTGACTTGATAAATTGGCTCCCAGCTTTCTCACCAAGGAAGAGGCTAACGAGATCAGTTGCGCAATATTTAAAGTCTATGGGAAAAGGGTAAACCAGTTTTCCAGGAAAAATACCACTATTTTTGGTTTTCACACCGAAAGAGAATTTTAACCAAGGGTTTACCCAATTTTACCCAAGGCATGAACTCAGTTCTGAAAAATACTCCTAAAGTGAACAGGCAAGGCGCTTCCCAGGGCTGCTCGCGCAGTGGCCCGCACACCTGCCGCTGGGACAGTGCGAGGTGCGGCTCGGTTCGCGTCAGGGCCGCTGCTCTCCGGGCTGCCGTCCTCCGTGGTCTCAGGAGGAGCACAGCATCCCTTCTCCTCGTCCTCCTGGTGCTCCATTTCCATGGTAACACATCTGCTTACAAAACCGTTTCTTTTTTTATCATTTTAAAGCACGCTGTTGTACACCATCACACCCACACTGCTGGTTTCAGGATTGTTCAGTGAATACTGGAGGTTTCCCCCCTGTACAAATTGTTGACATAAGCCCTATTTGGGGGTTCACTAAAGATGACTGAGATTTGATGGGTGTCCATTCTGATTCTACATGTTGGTCCAGAGTAACGATGATTTCCCTCTGTTGGGTACATCAGAAATCTGGAGCTGTCTACCGTAGCGAACAAATTTAACCCTTTCATCCTTTCTCCATGTGTTGGTGAGTGTATGCTAATGGTGTAAGCTAGGCTCCTGACACATGCTTAATCCCTGGGGTGGGTGTCATAGAATGTACTTTCTTACGCTCGCAAGACGAGTGGATGGGCAGGTCAGTGCAGCCTTCCTCTCTGCAGTTGTTCACGTGCCAGAGTGGCAGAGGCTCTCCCGCTTCCAAATGGTGCTGGGGACATGGACACTCCAGCCACTTGGAAGGGGAATAGGACAGAAGAGATCTGCACCGGAGCTTTGCGGCCAGGCCCGGGAGTGGCGCGCTTTGCCCTCCAAGATCATGTGTTAGATCTTGGTCAAATACACGGTCAAATACACGATCAAGATCCACTGGACAGGGAAGCTGGGAAACATACTTTTTTTTTTACTAACCGTTCCTTGGTGACAAATCCACACCACTGAAAGGGGAACTTGCATTTTGAATGTACAGCTAAGCCTGCCTTGGCTACACTAACCATGTCGCCCACAAACACGGCATTCTGCAAAAACCTGCACGGCAGATACACTCAGAAGCTTAATTAACAGAAAAGAAAATATGAGATATTAAATAGCAATCATGTAATTTCCATGAGAAAAAGCATGTGGTGCATAAAAAGGTGCTAATGGGTGTCATCTGTCTCTTAACTTTTCATGGGTTAGAAAGTTACTTTGGCAGTATTGAAGCATGAACTTTTCCTTCAGGAATGCACTCAAAAGAACCATTCTGTCAGGGAAGTATACACACAAATGTAATACCAATTTATTAATTTACACTAAAGGCTATAACTGCTAGGAGACTTGGCATTTATCTTCTACCCAGAATTTTCTATAGGAAAGTCACATAAACAGCTGTTATAAAGTAGCATGGTCTTCACAGCTAACACTCGTTTTCATCACTTCACCCATTCATGTGAACATACTTTTTTAACCATTCTCTCTATTTTACTTTCTGGTGGTACGGGCCCTTAAAAAGCAATAAGGGACAAGAATCCCCTGGACAAAAGAGCTTGTGGTATAATGAGGAGACAGACAAATGCGGAAAACTAATTAAATAAAAGAATTATTTCTGGCTTTTTGTCACTTGCAACCCACTCAGAAAAGAACAAAATTATGAGAATTGTTTGTTCAACTCCAGCCCTCCCAGCAGCAAGTGAATGACGGAACTCAATTTTGAGCGAAGTGAGCTGTTACTTCCATTTGCCTCGTTAGGGGAGAACTAAGGAGTCTTTAATCACAGGAGATAACTCATGCAGGCGATGACGCTGGGTTGCGCATGATGGAAGGACGGAGCTGGAGGTAGCAGAGACGGCAGATCCAAAGTGGACACAGCAGGTGCAGCGATGAGATCCACCAGTAGCAACGACCTGTGTCTCACGCCTGTGCAAATCCAAGGTGACGTTTGAGGGGTTTGATAGCACGTATCTGAGGGAAAGTGGATCTTCTATCTTGGGAGTTTGGGAAAGGGCTGGTGACACCATTTTCTCTTACCAGAGATAAGAAAAACACATTTTTGAAATTTTATTTTCTTATTTTATCTTTTCTGTTATTATTGTTGTTTCAAAATATTATGGGGGTACAAATGTTTTTTGGTTACATAAATCACTTTTGCTATGCTTGAGTCAGAGTTATAAGTGTGCCCTTCACCCGGACAGTGTTCATTGTACCCGTCAGGTAGGTTTTCACCCACCCTGTCTCCCCCTCCCCTGCTAGATTTCCACTTCCCTCTGTGCACATGTGTGCTCATTATTAGTTCCCATTTAATAGCAAGTGCATGTGGAGTTTGCTTTCCCATTCTTTAGATACTTCACTTGGGATAATGGTCTCCAGTTTCATCCAAATTGTTGCAAAAGGACTTAATTCATCCTTCCTCACGGCTTAGTAGTACTCCATAGTTTCCATATACCACATTTCATTAACCCACTTACGAATTGTTTGGCACTTGGGTTAATTTCACAGCATTCCAATTGTGAATTGTGCTTCAATAAACATTCCAGTGCAGGTGTCTTTTTAATAAAATGCTTCTTTTCCTCTGGGTAAATAACCAGTAGTGGGATTGCTGGATCAAATGATAGGTCTACTTTTAGTTATTTGAAGTAATCTCCATGTTGTTTTCCATAGAGGTTGTCCTAGTTTGCAGTCCCAGCAACAGCATGTAAATGTTCCTTTCTCTCTGCATCCACACCAGCCTCTGTTGAGTTGGATTTTTTAATAAGAGCCATTCTAACTGAGGTAAGGTGACATCTCATTGTGGTTTCAATTCGCATTTCCCTGATGATTAGTGACATTGAACATTTTTTTCTATTTTTGTTGGCCATTTGTCTATCTTATTTTGAAAAGTTTCTGGTTGTATCTTTCACCCACTTTTTAATGAGATTGTTGGTTTTATTCCTGCTGATTTGCTTGAGTTCTTTGTAGATACTGGTTATTAGCCCTTTATCAGATGTATAGCTTGTTCAGAGCATCTCATGACCCTCTAGAGAGATTGCCTGGTACCAACCACATTCTTATAAACAATAGAGATGAGGTCTTGATCTCTGTTGGAGAGAACCATTGGGCACCATTGCTATCTGAGTCTGGGTCATAACGATTCTGTGTGCAGCACTATCTGAGCACACAGAAGGGTTTTCCTATTGACCTGACATTCCATTTGTTATTGCCTCAGACAAATGGTCAGTTTTATGGCATGGAAGATACATCAATATGTTTATAATCATAGGATTTATGGCCTTGCCCTATGCCCTAGAGCCTAGAGGCAGCTCACCTAACAGAACAGTGGACTAGACTATTAAAACCTTGTCTAGGGTGCTACACCAGGCTTAGGACTCTCTCCTCCAGGATGCAATTTGTATATTGAACCAATGACCCATCAAAGGTAACTGTATTCTTTGGAGCTGTCATACATGGATCTGGGAACCAAAGCTGAGAAATTGGTTTGGCTTCTCTCACATGGCTCTTAATGATTGATACATTTGCAACTTTAAGCTTTGTCACCTTAGGAGTCATTTTTCCTGGAGGTAACACATCTGTCTGGAGATGTAATATGTACTACACTAAACCGGAAGCAGCTGCTACCACCTATTTCGCTGTTTTAAGCCAGTGGATTAGCAGGACAAAAGAAGAATTAGTTGACCTGGAGTAATTGACCCTGACATATCCAAATGTTGTTGAGCCTGGAGCCTATGAAACGGGGAGAGGGACTCTTTATAAAGGGAGAATAAAAATTACTAACAGGAAATTAAGTTCATGGTTTTAGTAGGAATCCTTGTAAGTCAAAGGCATTGGATCTTAAGATTAATTAGCTTCGCAGTAAATGCACCTCCAAGAGCTGGGGTTACCATTGCACATGGGCAGGGAGGAATATGTCTGAAGCTAAAAGGATAGTCTGACATATCTTTTGAGACTTTCATGTGCTGTAGTAACAGTGATGGGCAGTTACAGCAACCATGGCCATGTCTGGCTTTGTCAGAACTAGTTCTGACCTCTCAGAAAACTTTTCCCTCTTGGGAAAACTTTGCAGACATGCACACTAGACCAGCCAAATTTCTGGTTGAAAACAAGGGGGATCTAGAATGAGCAGTGGGGGGAAGTTGACAAAATGGATTAATAGCCACGGGAGTAGCTGCAGTTCCAGGAGTTGTGGTTTTAGGTCTTCAGGATATTGCAAGTGGCCTCATGTTTATTGAATTTTAGTTCTTTTCTAGGTAGAAAAGTTGAGTGTATCTTAGAATAGAGTGCAAGAGGCTTTGTGTGCGCCATGAGTGGGTTGTACCAGATTCAGCGCAGGTGTTGACCCAAATTGTGCAGCCATGCTTTTCTGTTCAGCGGTGCTGATGAAGTCGGGGAGTACACAGGAGTTGAATCCCTCGGGTTGAAATATGCATAATGAGAGACAAGAAGGAGCTGGCAACTAAGTCCTCCCCCTTCTTTCCTCTGCCAGACTGCCTTGAGGTGCAGGGGGTCCCTGGGACCTTTCCAGAAACAGAGCGCAGAGAAGAGCAGGCAGCTGTGCTTGCCGGGTAAACCTCTGGCCGGTGTAGTCGCACGTCACACTGTATTTGCGTTGCATCATTCCATGACCCGCTTCTCTTTTCCCCAGATGTTTGCTTTCCTGAGATGCCAAAAACTCACAAAAGATTAACAGAACAGTTTTTTCACAGACTTTTTTCCTAACCGACCCACAGGGAGATTGCTCCAGGCAGTAGGAACAGCCAGTGCAAAATCTCTGAGCCAGTAGGTTCAAGGAACAGCAAGGAGTCCAGTATGGCCGGAAGTTCATTAATAAGTGGAAGGGGACGTGGAGATGAGTCGAGAGGTGACCAGGAGCGTGATTAGATGGGTCTAGTTGGTGTTGGTAATATTTGTCTGTTTGTTTAAGAGAACAGGAATCTACCGGAGGGTTTTGAGGACAAAAGTGAAATTGTTTTCTTATGCTTTTATGGACTCTTCCTGGAAACTGTGTGTAGAGTGGAGTAGTGGAGGGAAAACAAGCTGAAATGGAAATTAGGAATTTCTAGTTAGGAAGCAATTATAAAAACACACATGGACTAATAGTGGCAGGAACAAGGGTGGTATTAGTAAAGGCAGTGAAAATTGATCAAATTCTGAATGCATTTTGAAGGTAGAACTGAAAGAATTTACTACTGGATCAGATTTGGGGTATGAGGAAAAAAAAACTGGTCTAAAGTATGGTAATAGAAAGAATGGAGTTATCATTATTGAGATGAGATAGTTTTAGGAACACATTTTAGGGGAAAGTGAAGTTGTTTTAGGGGAAAGTGAAGTTGTTTTAGGGGAAAGTGAAGTTGTTTTTGAACATTTTAAATTTAAGATGTCTAAGATATTTGTGTAATATCTTAGGTGCGTGCACACACACGAATAAATCCCCAAATCCCCAAATTAAAAATCCACGATTTAACTATAAAGCACATTGACATTGTCTAAATTCTAAATGAAGCCACGCTGGCTGATAACAAAGAAGACGTTTCGCAGATGGGGATGGGGATCTCTCGAGTGTGAAGGATGAAGGGGGCACCCGTGAGGCAGCAGAGCGAGGTACTTACCAGCAGAACCACCCAGCGGCGTCCCAGGGGCCACATGAAGGGAGTATTCCCAGAAAAAAGGCGTGCTCAGCTGTACAAAGCTGGGGGGAGACTCCATGTGAGAAAGTGGACAGAATCATCATTTAACAACCGTTGTTGTAAGGAAAGGAAACAGGTTAAGCCCCTTTTCCCTCCTGAGGCTTTGCTCCAACTGGGCCATTCCCTACCACCTTTTACTCGGTGTCAGAGTGTCGTGGCTTGAAATACTGCAGGCTTTGTGTTCATCCCTGAGACCCCCGCTCTAATTTTCTGTGTCTAACGCCTTTCTCTGTATCATTCTGTCATCAAAGTTATTTCTATGTTTCTGTCCCCAAGAGGGGGGTTGATAAATGGCGAAAAAAAGGAGGGATGTCTTTCTTTACATTCCAAAATCAGTCTCAGAAAGCTTAGGATGACAGCTTAAGAGAGAAAAGAGTCTTTGAAGTCACTTTAAAGATAAAGAACAAAAGCCTGGGGGAGAATGAGAGCCTTAAGTTTAAACCATAAACCACAGAGCAGGGAACAACGCATGGTGCTCAGAGAAGTTATTTCTGGTCCAAAAGACATAACCTCAGTAAGCTAACAGGAAGAAGAGGAGGATCGGAGGGGTATGACGAGGTCTTAAAAGCCAGTTTCTTGAGTGATGTCTTTTTGGCAAGCACCCTCCCCATGCCCCAGACCCCTCTAGTGGGAACCATAAAGAAGGTGATAGAAACCACATTAATTTTGGAGTCCCAAAGCAAAAGACTTTTTTGGGGCAAGCCCTGCAATTAAGACAGTGCCTGACTGGTAGTGCAGCAACCAGTGAGGGTAAGTCTCTCATCAGAGGGGACTGACTCGCAGAGTTCCCTGTAGGACAACACGGTGGAAATGAAGCTAAGTGCTGCCCAGCTCCTGCAGAAGTGCTGAGCTGTGACCATAATAAGAAAAGGATGTTGACTACAGGGTCATTGCAACAGAACGCCGCAAGGGAGTGTGGCAGGTAACCTCACTCCCTTCTCATACAGCTACAGCAGATGCCAGCGACTGACGACAGCCAGGATTAGGCAGAAGCTGTGTCCTTGTGTCCTTGGCCAGGGCAGCCGCTCTACACTGGTGGCCACTGAGAATGGACTGGTTGACACGAAGCAGACACATCTCCATTGCCACCAGGGCATAAGTGAATTCTCACGAACACAGATCACATTAGAGGAAGGGAATGGTAAGAATTGAATTGACCATATTTTAATCCAGAAGAGGCAACCTTGTTGTCACATGCAAGTTGGAACTGTGCCATCAACAGAAATACGACACATATGCTAAGTTGAGTTCACC